CTTGGTTGAAAGGGCATGAGCAAAAGTGGGTCTTCATACTTTTTAAATAGGGGCCGAGTCTTATGATCATTTTTGTCTAAATAATGCCAAGCACGTAAATAGCATGCAACCGGCATCATGCGCTAGTCACCTAGCTTCAGCCGGCATTTACATTATGGCTTATTGTATTGTGATGCAATGAACAAAGCCATGATTAAACGACACCTTTGTTCACATGTAAACAGGCGGTAAGGTGGTTAACCTTCGAACTTGGCTAAGCAAGGAAAGCAAGAAAGCCACTAACCGGCAATGGAGCTAGCAATGTTACAAAGCAAGTGACACATGCTCACTTAAAAGTCAATGGTTAACTAAAGTGGGCAGCCCTTATTGGTTGGATATGAGAAAAACAGAGCAACCTTCGTATTTTGTCAGACAAGCCATAATAAGCATGGATGGCCGAGATCATCAAGCAAATCATCATGAGAACAACCGACAATTTCTTGCTAAGTCAGAACCTTTATTGCTCTTATTTTAGTGAACGGATGCGCAATAAAATCTAGCAACTTCTCGTGGACGCTTCAGCTTGGGTAGCCGGCACTTCGATGGCACCTTCATTGGTCCTCACAAATAGGCTAGCAGGCGACAGCTCAAACTCCAACCGGCACATCATGGTAACAGCCGGCCTATAACCAAGCATGATAAATTTTAGGAATTCTTATGGCAACAAGAGTTCTATGGTCACAAGAACAGTCGGCATTTAGTGGTCGGATGACTCAATGAAATCAAGTACCACCTCGTAGACGCTTGAACTTTAGTGGCCGGCACTTCAATGTTTGGCATTGATAAATAACACTACATTGGTCCTTATCATTATTATGATTTTCCCTCGGAAAAAAAAAAAAATTTGCCTAAGGTTATTAAACCCGACAGCATAGTCAGTAACCAATTGAAGACCGTCTCCCTTCAGGGATTACCTCCACTTATTTGTGTGACAGTAAGAGAGGCGGCATGAATAATAGCCGGCCCCCTATACAATGAAGTCTCGTAGCTATGAAAGCAGCCGACTCTCATTAATAACACCATCCATCCTTTATGGAAGGGAACTAGGTGATCCATCTGCTCTAACACTTGAAATGATTTCAATACTTTATACTGATTCAGAGGGGTAGGCCGCCTATACATTTACAGTCGCCTACTCTCCATTGAGTATTTCACTTTATCATCAGAGGGGCATGCCGTCTGTACCTTTACAGTCGGCTACTCTCCATTGAGTATTTTACTCTATCTTCAGAGGGGCATGCCGTCTGTACCTTTACAGTCGGCTACTCTCCATTGAGTATTTTACTCTATCTTCAGAGGGGCATGCCGCCTGTACCTTTACAGTCGGCTACTCTCCATTGAATATTTTACTCTATCACCATAGGGGCATGCCGTATGGACATACAGTCGATTCCAAGACAGACGACCACCCTCCTATACTTAGCTAAAAAATGATGGTGGCCTGGCCGACCCTGTGCCTAAATAGGCAGCTGCCCTCCTCTTACTTAGCATCTGCGTCCACCAAAGGACTAACCAAGGCCACAGGCCGAATGATCAGACCAGGCGCCAAGCCAACTGATCCAATCTTCAAAACTAATACGACCTGTCCCAACATCATAGCAGGCGTCCGGCGGCATCCCTCTGGATGAAATTCGTCGTAGAGAGCAGCTCCCTTTTGGGTGGAACATTGCTCTATAAACTAATTACACGACACCTATACGACTGTCCCCAAGGGCAACCACGTAGCCGTTTTTGAGACAAGGATAACTCTATCACTAACCAAACCAGTGGTAGCAGTTGACATCTGAGTCAGATGACCGCCTGTATTACTTGGGATAAATGCAGGGGGTACCTCTTGAGTTAATAGCCAACAAACATTGGCGAATCAAGGGGTCTAGCCGGCCTTCGCCGCCTGGTACCTCTACTACTCAAGCTAGAGTGTGACGGAGACTGAGTAACTCCTATGTTAACTTATAGTCACTATCTCAAACTTAGTATGGAGCCTAAAAGGTATGAGTCGCCCGCCTGTTTTTAGCAAACAGGGGCTCTCAACCACTACTCCTGCTAGGTTAACAACCTTTGAGTTAATAGCCAAGCAAAACTTGGCGAATCAAGGGGACCATGTATCCGGCTTCCGCCGCCTGGTTTCCCTACTACTCAAACAAAATAGGCAGTGATTGACTAACCTCAAGGTTAACCAGTCGCCCTCCTTAGTACAGAACCTAAAAGGTATGAGAGATCCGCCTGTTTTTTGGCAAACAAGGGCTCTCGACCACTATTCCTACTAGATCTGACAAAAGCTACCGCCCAGGCATAGCTACTCTGGCCAGGCGTCCCGTTCACAGAAACAGACGACCTGTCCCCATCAAACTTGGTGAAATTCACCAAATATTATGAAACCATGCCAAAACATTTTGGCACCACTATTCTTACTAGGTTAGCTATACTTAAAGCTGTCTTCTATAACCTAACATGTGTAGCTACTTCGGTTGGACGTCCCGTCTGACGCCTGCTTCTATGCAGCCACCAAAGCAAACGACCAGCCATCCCCCAACGAAATAAACTAAGTACCAAACTTAGTATATTGAATCAAAAGAGGCCAATGGCCGAATAATGCTAAACGCTTACCCCTTATGCAATAGTTGACAGTCCACCTGATCAGGGGCTATCTGCATAGTGGGGCAAAGAATCGGCATCTGTCTAGTTCGGCGGCAATCATTATTATGATTGATTAACTTTGAAAATGTCATACCGCCCAAGGTATCAAAATTTTCTAAGTTAATCAAGTCCATCTCCCATTAGAACTAGACAAGATGCCGACCTAGCAAAGCTTCGAGGGTCCAACTTTCGAAAGGAGCAATCCCTCCTAGAAAGAGAAATTACTCCTTCCGAGGGGCAAATGTTTAGGGTAAAAATTACCCATGACAAATGGACCAATCCAGACCTGCCACGTGTCCACCACGTGGGCCAATCAGCGTCCGCCATTTGTCACCGTAAGAGGTCCAACATGGACTAATCAGGCCACGCCACGTGGCCTCCCATATGCCAAATAGGCAAAATGGCCACCAAGGCCCAAAGTCCGAGAGAAGCCCAATTTGCCCTGGTTAACCTAAACCTAGGATTGGCACGCTTCTCAAGACTATAAATACTTAATTAATCCTCATTAAAGGGGATTCAACAATTGATGACTCTCACCTAGAGAAGTCTAAACACATTGATCACTCCTCCCCTAGAGGAACCAGATCTCCCACCTTTACTTTCCGCATTTATTACTCCTCAAACAAGTACTAACTTGACCGTTGGAGGCGGAACTCCCACCACAAGGAGTCTCCGTTGTTTTGCAGTTACAGGCGCAAGGATACCAGTCCCGGAATTGTAACTCTCCCGCAGGACATCAGAAAACCCCGAAACAGTTATATCTTCACAAACTATTGGGTGTGGATGTTTGCACCAAATGTTTCGTGCGAGAGGAGATGACGATGACGATGAAGACAAAGACGACGATGATGGCAATGGTGGATGATGACGATGACGATCGGCGATTGAAACCCTAGATTTGAAGCAGCAACTGGTACGGTGGAGTTCCCTGCTGGTTTGCGTGGTTGGGCACTTCGCATGGCTGCGCGTCTAGCCGTGGTTGCGGCTGGGCTTCGGCAGGTAGGAGCTGCGGAGTGGCTGTGCAGGGTGCTCGTAGTAAGGCAGCAACATGGGAGGGGTGGTGGCTCGTAGCAAGATAGGGGTGGTGACCTACGGGCAACAGCAGGGGAGGGGTGGTGGCTCGTAGCAGGGGAAACAGTAGGTTAGGGTGGTGGTTAGTTGGGTAGCGGCGTAAGGTTAGGGTGGTGGCTGGCTGGGTGTGGCATGAGGTTAGGGTGAATGAGGTTAGGGTCGTCGTTTGTTGGGTCTTGGGTGGTGGCGTGAGAAACAAAGAGAATGGAAGAAAGAGGAGAGAGAAAGAAATAAATATAGTAGTATCATATTAGCCAACAAATAACTCATATCAGCCAATTGATGTTTGATATTAGCCAACATTAGGGACATATCTGCCATTAATAAAAACGTATCAGCCAACAAAAGATACATATCAGCCAACAAGAGCAACATATCATCCAACATAAGATACATATCAGCCAACAGAAGGAACATATCAGTTAACAAATGGAGCATATCAGCCAACAAAAGGATGAAATCAGCAAACAAAAGCAAAAGGTAAGCCAACAAAATGAAACATGTAAGCCAACAATTAAAATATAGATATCAGCCAACTAAAGAAACATATAAGCCAAATGATATCTGATATCAGCCAACAAAAGGAGAAACAAATAAAAAATATCAGCCAACAAAAGAATATATTAGCCAACAAAAAAACATATCAGCCAACAAATGAACATATCAGCCAACACATGAAACATATCAGCCAACAAGTAAAACATATCAGCCAAGTCAGCCGCACTGAAATTTGCGTGCGGACATCTGCACGCAATAGCTTTTCTTATATCTTTTCTAAAGTGTAAATCATATAAAAGACAATTAAAGGCGTATACATGTGTGAATAAATTAAAATTCAAAATTTAAAATTTCAGTCTTAAAAAAAAAAATAAAAAATTTAATTTTAAATGTTGAGATTAAAAATAATGAAGTACGTGTTAATTCATCCAACAAGTCCATGCCTATAATAGTGTACAAAGAGTAAAAATTATAGGGTATGAATTGAACTATAAGGAGAATTTTATAATATAAAGTTTAGCTAGCGGATATATATTTCAATGTTAGTTAGAGAGAGAAATTGTACAATAATATTGTAAGTGAAATTTGTAAGAGAGAAAAATAATAAAATAATAGTGTATTCTTAGCAAATAAAAAAATTATTGCAATTATTATGAAACAGAAGTAAAAAAATAAAAAAATTGTCTATTTAAGTTCGTTCCATAATAATTCCATAGAAATATAGTATCATGAATGAAACGGAAGTTCAAAAAAAATTGTTAGTCAAACAAATTAGGTTCAGTTTTGCGGAGGCTGGAAAATCATGGAATGAATAATTCTACAATTTATGGCTAGAAGATATTGCCAATTTAAGAAGTATTTACTCATGCATGAGGTTTAAGGAGTTGACAATAATGACAAACTATTCAGTTTAGCTTTCCTCAAAAAAAAAAAAAAAAAAAAAACAGTTTAGCAATTAGCACACTAAATACGACCTTTTTACGCTCATTAAATCCTTACTTATCGAAAGCGCTACGTCATGCTGAGTTGGTGACTGAAGAAATCTTTCTTGAAAAATATGTTATTCAAGTCTATGTCACGAGGATACATTAATCATTGACATTTTCAATTTACTTTATGTCAAAATAATATAAAAGTTTAATAAAGGTTAAGGGAAGTATAAGTTTTTGGAATGAAACTCGTTTTAGATTAATAAAGGGGTTAAAGTCATAGCACAAAAAGGCTTCAAAAAAAGGGAAAAAAAAGCCATAGCACAATTAAGTTTGAATTGAAATTAAGCTAATACGAAATATTAAAGTAGCAAGTATACCAGAAGATACAATTTTCACTTTTTACTAACGCAAATATATACTAGCCTTTTGATTTTCTCCTCCTGAAAACTATACGAGTTGAATTCTTCTCCGATCTACCAAAACATACTCTTAATGTCATTTGATGATTTAGATCATCTAGATGTCATTTGATGATTTAGATCATCTAGATGTTTCGACGTACATTTTTTCTTCTTGTTGGCATTGCAACAATATACAAGTATTTATTTATGAACACTAAAACATGGAAGTGATAGATGGCCTAATTACGTATTAACGTATGATAAATTAAAGCTGTAGTAGTGCTGTACACTTGTACTCCCTATGTTTGGATCGAAATTGATGAGATATGAAGCACGTACTATTTTAGATGTACAATAAACACAACATTTCATAAAATAGTAATAGTATCCATACTGGATTAGGATGTCTCAACTCATATGAAAATTATACAATACATGTTTAACTTAATTGAGTAACGAGAAGATAGAAATGACACCATATATATCACTATTCACTGGTGTAGAATTATATAGGTACATTATTTTAACTTAATTGAGTAACGAGATGATAGAAATTAAATAACACTAGATGCACACATCACTGGCGTAGAATTGAAATATCTACTCTACTAGCTTACCCCATTAACTATCAAGGTTGTCTTTCTACGTACATTATATACATGTTCAATAGCAAGGGTGCGTATGCTAATAGTTTGAGAAATTCTTAAGATAAGTTGTTAACTTTGACATTCTCCTTATAAACAATCTATATGCATGATTGTCCTTAGAACTGATAGGCCTGGATGATAAGGGAAAAATATGAATTATGGCTATACATTATTTGTCCTAAAAAATACAAAAATATGCAAAAAAATAAAATAAATGACAACTTAGCTTCCTAAGGGCAATATAAACTACAGTAGTTACTTTTGCATAACATAGATGACAGTCATTTGTAGCTAACCCATCATATAATTAATATATATTTAGTCATCAAATGGAATTTTAATGATCATAGAATTCATACTACCTAATCTTAGTTTTTCCACTTTAATTGCTACAGTATATAATCAGCCATATTATATAAACTGAGCCTCTTACATCCCTAACATCCCATTTGTATATCACAGCCTTAGCTTTCTAAATCATAGTCCTATAAATAAAATTCATTTGCGTAAACTTTTTGTTCCAATTTTAACATAAAATGGCTCCTACTCTTATGCCTGTGCAAGAGATACTCCAAAGCGGCGTGGTGCCTAAAGGCTACATACAGCCCGAAGATGACTACCAAGTTGGTAATGGCTCTCCTCCGTTGATGGATGCTCCGACGATTGATTTTTCTCTCCTCTCATCGTCGTCTCCTGATGAGCTTGCAAAGCTTTGCTCCGCTCTCAGTTCATGGGGCTGTGTTCAGGTTTGCCATTTATATACGTACCCTAATTAATAATTGGCCTGCCGTTTATATATACTTGAACACTTGCACATTTTAGTTTTAGCTCATCAATAATTCATTAAGCATATACGGTATTTATGATACTAGATGTTTTCATTAACGATGTCAACGTAATAGCCACTTTATAATACGTACCATAAAGGAAACATTATGTAGTTGATGATTTTTAGAAAAAAAAATAGTTATACACAATTTTGTATTAAGATTTAAGAAGTACTTCGTAATATGATTAACGTAGATTTAGGTTCCCTGCATTAGAAAGTAGAATGACTAATATCAATAAGCTCACTATCTATATATGTGGAACAATATATTAAATGAAATTTAAGTTTCTAACTTGTGTTTAATTTTGTGAGTTATAGCTAGTGAATCATGGTATACCACTTTCAATACTAGACGAGGTACGAGAAATGAGCAAACAATTCTTCAAACTGCCTCTTGAAGAAAAGGAAAAGTACTCCTCAAAGGGAGAAGACTTGGAAGGTTATGGAAATACAAATGCTGTTCAACGTGGAAGTCTCAATTGGAATGACAAGCTTCATCTCCAAGTTTATCCCGAGGACAAGCGCCAACTTCAATTTTGGCCTAAAAATCCCGAAAAGTTTAGGTAATTTTACATGAACCCACAATTTTTAGTTTGTTGCTAATCTTTTAATTAAATTGAGACTTTAAAACATAAGATAAATGAATTTTAAATATTTTGAACATTAAGAAAAGGAAAATACTAAACATAACCCTAGGGCTAAGAAGATAAAAAAGGAAATATTAAGGATAAATTAACATTAATTACACCGATTGAGGATAAATATTGAGGATAAGAAGCTAAAGAAATGCTTATGTGGAAAATATAACCAATCATAAAGCTTCATGTATCAAACCTTTTGATTGTCATTTTTCAAGCTATACTAGAGGCTATTGTAAGAATTTTGATAACTAAATTACTTTTTATCTTACTCTAATCTTTAATCAAATTGCTTATATGCATGTTTGATTGTACTAATGATATGAAACAACTAACAATTAATTACATTGAAAATTAATCAAATAATAAATGATCACAGGACAACATTGCATGATTATTCAAAGATGAACCGAATGATACTCGGGACGTTCTTAAAAGCTATGGCACGTTCCTTGGATTTAGAAGAAGACCGTTTTCTTGCATTATGGGGAGATGAAAACGAAGATATGACATTTGCAAGGTTCAACTTTTACCCTCGATGCCCGATGTCGGATCAAGTTGTTGGACTTAAACCTCATGGAGATGGAACTGCCATTACCATGCTCTTGCAAGATAACGAGGTTGAAGGTCTTCAAGTTGTCAAAGATGATCGATGGTTTCGTGTTCCCGTCATCCCTCAAGCCATCACCATCCTTGTTGGTGATCAGATGGAGGTAAGGACTATAAAACAACTTCATCAAGTGCCTCTTGTTAATTGCATTTAAATTGTAACTATGTAAGATGACCTACTTTCGTTTTTAATCTCCCCATTTGGCTTTGTGATCAATTGAAACATTAAATTTTTATGTTTTCCAAAACACACAACGTGGCATTTGACTAGCTATTATCAAATATTGCAGATAACAAGTAACGGCATCTTTAAAAGTCCAACCCACAAGGCGGTGGTAAACCCTAAATATGATCGGATCTCCTTAGCAATGCTTTTCATCCCGAGTGCAGACAGAGAGATTGGACCACTAGATGAACTAATCAATGAAGAGAGGCCGCAGTTATACAAAAGGCTCAAGGATTATGGCCAAGTTTACACACAATCTATTCCTTCAGGAGAAAGGCCTATCAGTATAGTGAAGATTATTCACTGAAATTTTCTAGATGTGCATGATTATCACATTGTTTCATTGTGTGTTGATCGGGACACAAAGATGAGCCACTTAATTTTCAATAATGTAATGGACTAATGTGTGTGTCTTAATTTGATTTGGTGTTTTATATATTTACTTGTTATTAATTGTAATAGGTACTATCCTTGACACTCCCAACCTCTTGTAATAATGGAATAGTCTTAGTCTATTATACATCATCTTGATTCTTGAGGTAGTTTATTGTGGGGAGGCAAATAATAAAAACATTTACATACATAATACATACCTTGCCTAAAAAGGACGTGCAACGTGAACGTGCTAAGTCGTGCAATAATTTTGTTAATTATCTTGGCATTTGATTGCCTTCGTGCTTAATTTAAATAAGTAAGTTGAAGACACTGATCTTGAAGAAGTTGAAGGCACTAATCTTGAAGAAGAAAAATATAACAAAGTAACGATAAGTTGAAACTTAAAAGACTGCATATAATACTCCCAAAATTTAAATGAAAAAGGCCCTAAAAACAAGCCTAATTACAAAACTGCAGCGAGATCCTCGTGTTGAGACATCATAGTGGCGTAGCCCTTGTAAGGGGCAAACAAATTTAAGACAATTCAAATAAGACAAACATTTAAAAAAAACGGATGTACAATAAAGTTAGGGTGTTGTTAAATGTCGCTCCCAAATTATAAGGGGTCGCTCGCATTTTTTTTCATGAAATTCCGTATTTACCCCTCGTATATAAATACTCACGACACTTACAACACATTTCACGCTCATACTTCTCTCTCTAAAATTTTATCTTTCTAAAATTTTAAATTCTCTTCAAAAATTAAAAAATCAGAAATTTAGGAAAAAAAAAATCTGAAAATCCAAAAAAAAAAAAAAAAAAAAACAGAAAATTCAAAAGAAAAACACCCACAACCACCACCAATCCAAGGAGGGTAGAAGAAATCTGACAATGGCGGACCGGCGGCGAATCAGGTTAACGTACGGCAGTCGTGGCGGCGGCATGGGAGGCGGCGAACAGGTACGTTCCGGAATTTATTGGTTAATTCGGAAAAAAAAAGAAGTTTTGGAAATTTTAAGACATCCGCCTGAAATTTCCGGATGTCCCAAATTTCCGATTTTTTTTCCTCGTGATTAATTTTATGTTTTTTTTCGTGCTTAATATATTTTTTTTTTCGTGATTAATATTTTTTTAAATAACTGAATAAAATTATTCTGAATTTTTTTTTTCTCGTGATTAATTTTATGTTTTTTTTCTTGCTTAATATATTTTTTTTTCGTGATTAATATTTTTTAAATAACAGATTAAAATTATTATTATTAGTAATGTAATTAGTATTAGGATTGTTATTATTAGTAGCAATATTACTATTATTATAATTGTTGTTGTTATTAGTATTATTACCATTATTGTTGTTGTTGTTGTTGTTTTGTAATATTGTTAGTAGTATGTTGCAAAATTTGTGGTTTATTATTATTATTATTATTATTATTGTTATTGTTATTACTATTGTTATTATTGTAATTATGATTTGGTTTTTTTTTTTGAATTTTTTTTTTGAATTTGAATATTAGTTGTTCAATTTCAATATCATATTTATATTTGTAATTATTATTGATATTTGATTTTGTACTTATATAATGTAGATTGAGGGTTCAGGTGCTCATCATGCAATATCAAGACGTTTGAATGCGTCTGTTAGGAGGGAGTCAAGTTTTTCAGTAAATACGGGGGCACCGTTCATCATGAGCAGCAATATGGGTCTCTTGGTACTTGGTCGGGGGAGCATCAGTCACAAGGGAGCCTCCCCATGTACTCGTCGGGTGGAGTGCCTACATCTGACGATGAGGACGAAGAGCGGACAAGTCATGCTAATCGAGATGAAGAGTATGACCCTCAGAATTATCATACAGTATATAGGGGTCAGCATGGGAGATTTGTTAGTAGTAGTCAAGCGAGTCAGCCTTCTACCAACTCAGCAGAGACATGGGTAGTGCAGCAGCCGATGCCAGGTGGTCTTGAGGATGGTACTGCTATCCCTAGTTTTGGTTGTCACGTGGCTGCATATGCATGGGGCGGGCAGGAGCGTAATATTTTGCGCTGTTTGAGCAGGATACAGTTGTGTTCTAAATTGGTTAACTGGCGAGGTCGTCTTGCACAGGAGCACCTGGAATTAATTGATGGCAGTGGTCTGTCTCACTTACCCGGGATCATGTTTAGGCGTTTTGATTAGCCGTTGATTTCTGCTTTTGTTGAGAGATGGCAGCTAGATACGAACATGTTTCATATTCCATTTGGGGAGATCAAGATCATGCTGCACGATGTGTACCATATTCTTGGGCTTCGTGTTGATGGTTCCATGGTTTCCACTACTCCTAACACGGAAGTCATACGGGACGCGTGCTCGGTTACCATGGATATGACTGCGGAAGAGCTGAATAAGAAGTGCGGTACTAAAACCATTTGGCAGGGTAGTGGGGTGTTGACCGAGAGGATTATGGACTCGACCTTGGAGGCGCAGAGGCCCTTCAGTGTCCATTATAGTGCCTACATGTGGTTAGTACTAGGCAGATGTCTGTTTTTGGACAAGAGTGGTAACCGTACTCATCCTTCCTTCCTCAACGAGCTTGTTGTTGATGATCTTACGATTAATAAGTTCTCTTGGGGTTTAGCTGCTCTAGCATAGCTGTATCGGCAGTTGGGTACATCATCACGAAAAGATGCTGATTCATTGTCTCACGCTTCTGCAGGCGTGGATCTACGAGTACTTTCCGTGCTTTCGGCCTCAGCAAGGTACCTTGACGAGGGAGCTTAGCATTCCTCGTGCGTCTGCTTAGGATGTTAGATCGGGATGCCCCAACAAGAGCATGGAGCGCCTCCTCGTTTTCGTGCTAGATTAGATCACCTGACTGACAATGAGGTTAACTGGCTACCGCACGGAGTTGATCCTGCACGATGCGTGCCAGCCACTCTTTTTATTGGCTGCATCCAGTACCGTAGCATCATTGAGCCATACATGCCTGAACGAGTGGTTCGAAAACTTGGATTCGTGCAGGACATTCCAAGGACCATTATCAAGCCTGAGAAGGCCAAGAGACCGACGAACTTGAAGATGTATCGGGTAGACTTTCCGACCGAGATGACATCTGTGATGTGGACTCAGTTTGTCCTTGGTTCTTTTTTCAGTGTTATTTTAGGTCCCCTCACCACACTTGGTAGTGGAGCTCCTACGGTCGCTCCCGGTTACATGCAGTGCTGTACCGATTTTCTCATCCTCATTTTTCTCTTGGTGGGTCATCAGATGGGAGTACCAGACTACCTAAGAGGATTAACACGGATTATGTAAGTAGTTGTGTTTTATTATACTATAAATACCACTTCAAAAAATTGTAATTTCTATAATATGTTGTTCTCTTATTTGCAGTGGATGGGTCGGTCCATGGAGATTATCAACATATCACTAGATGAGTATCCTAACATGTCGCGTGGAACAAGGGCAATGGCTGAGCAGCTCCGAGATGACTGGAAGGCGATGATGGGGTTGTGAATTACTTGTCTTTTAGTTTTATATTACTTGTTATGTACTTATTGTTTTATACTACTTTGTATTCGACATGTAATTTAAGAACTGGACACTTTCATATTTAGTTTTGTTGAAACTTTGTTTAATTAATTTTATTGATTTATATTACATAGCTACAATTGTTCAACCTAAGTGAAAGTACATAAATGAGTTCACTGCCTAATTAATGCATCCCACATGTTCCTTCTAACTTCATTTGCTGATCCCATCCATCAACACTTGGCTCGTGGTGCTCGTTCCACCATCCTGCAATCAGGGGAAGAGGTGAATTTTCTGCAAGATCAATACGGATGAAATGTGACCCCCCAACTGTAGCGATCACAAACTCTCGGGCGGGTGCCCTGACCGTGTTTCGTGCCCGCAACGGTAAGATCATGAGGCATGGGTAGTAGCAGGTTGGTACGGTGCCTACACCAAGAATAATAACCCTTGCGTTGAACCAAGTAGCAATAGGAAATAAATGTTGAATTGCAACCATCCATTGCCGTGAATCAACCGCCCCACCGTCCCATCGAATACGTTCCACGTTCATCCGAACCCTTCCAATCCCGTAAATCCTTTCGTACAGGAATGGATGAGCGGCGACCTCGTTTGCTATTATTTCCCGAGTGTCAAACCATTGCGCTTGATCACCGAAGAAGAAGTCGGCCACATAACGAAAGCTACAGTTACCATCACCAATGACATCCTTCCATGCCGTGATGTAAGGCAACATTGGTCCTGGAAGCAAATGCAAATATCTGCATCGGCTGATGTCAGATGGGTCTTCTACACAAAATTAATGTTCAGTTATTAGTACGCTACAAGATGAAATACGTGTAAATCACAATAGCCAGTCGTACCTGTTTGCTGTGCACCATGTTGATTGTTTTCACAGTTGACATGTTCGAAATAACAAGGATCACGTCTTGTATCATTGTTCCTTCGTCGACCTCGAACGTTGTGGTTTACATGTGGATCTTCAAGGTTTGAATGATCAGGATGCAACTCCTCCTCAATGATGCAAGATACATTTCGAAGTATAGCAGGATCACTACTAATGACCTCATCATCCAGGGAACGAAAATGTGCAGCTTCCTCGGTCGAGTCGTTAACGAACACCGGTACATCAATACCATCACCGATAACCAAGGTCTTCCAGAGCAGATGAATTTGCCTGATATACAAGCCTGTTTATGCAACTAGCAAATCATGTATCTGGAAAGCACATGGTAAACCGTGGGTCACACGCATTGCACATCCACAACGCTCATACACCTGATAACTCAGCTCCCTCATCCTTCTCGTCTCGTCATCGAGAACTTTCAAACAATGGTGAGACACCTTGCCGTTAATACATGACAGTGGAAATTGTCTGTACTTCTCACCAATCTTCGACCTAGACGCCTCCAAACCATTACGAATTGCAATGATCTGATTACCAATATGACAATGTAACCGGGCCTATACGGTATCCAAAGAACCTGCCGTTGATTAAAATTATAAAAAACCGTTATGATTTATAATTAAAATAACTAAAACAAAGTAAATACATCAACTACAACTTAATGACAACGAACCTGTCGAAGATTCACACCACATCTTCACGGCCGAATGTTGGCTCTCAACTCTGCAAGTACTCGTGTTACCTAAGTGGAGAACTTGGTTCGTCCAAAATGTCACAAATTTGGTTTTATGACAAAGCCATGTTCTCTCAACATAACTAATCACTGCCGGATAACTTGCCCACCGAGCTTTCATTGTATCGACATCAGCATTATAATCCGCCTCGGTTGTAGCATCCATGATACGTTTCCATTTGTCGTTTTTGAAAGTCGCACTGATCCTCTTGTTTTTGAACATATCAGTGACCCGAGCCTCCACATCTTTGTTAATTTTCCATCGACAAAGTAAATGCGACGTCCCCGAAAACACTTCTCTCAATGCCGCATAGAGGCCAAGCTCATGGTCTGTCAAAAATACTAAGGGTTCCTTATCATACCCAATCAACTATCTTAATCTCTGCAAAACCCACCGATAGCTTGCTGTGCACACGTTCCACATGAACACATAACCGACGAGGAAATTCTGATTTGTCGGTGTCACACCAAGTATCTCAAAGAACGGCATCCCGTATCGGTTGGTCTTGTAAGTCGAATCCATACCGATCACATGTGGGTATGTGTGTAGTATGTTTGCCGTGATTGGGTGCACCATAAATGCATGCTGTAGAACGCCAAGATCATTAGACATGACCCAATAAATATACTGACTCTGTCTCGCCAAATGAAGAAATTGCTGAACAACTCCTCTCCCATCAGACATCTCCGTTCTCAGATCAAGTCATTCCGGCAATTGTAAATGTGTCTGATGTTTGGATGATCATCAGGAAATTGCTCTGCAATAGTCGCCATGATGTTACGCGGTGCAAACTTGGACTTTGTCATGTCACGCACAACCTTCTTCGCATCCGGGCTCAAGTCACTAATTTTACGATGACCCTCCTGATACACAATCATTGGATGGTTATGAGTCCTAGTTGCATCATTTTTTGCCCGGATCTTCCAACTATCGGTGATGAACTCGTAATATATCTTGATGTAGAAAGGACAACCATTAGCTTTGGTCTTTGTGTCCTTTCGAATTGCGTCCTCCAAATCTCTCGGCTTGCTCTTTCGTCCCCGATCACATCTCAAACATCGATACGGCCTACCATCTCTAGTTTTGTTGTAAGACTATTTAACCAAAATAAATCTAGGATTTATGGAAACAGCATCCGCCCATTTAATTGCATCATCAAACGTTGGAAAAAACGTGTCCGTGACAAAATTCGCACTATAATTCACACCGTCACCTCCGTCTTCAAAGTCCAAATCCTATAAAAGAAAACACAAAAAATTTCATAATATTACTAATCACAATAGTAATAAATTTAAAACTATAAAACAACAACATCATCAACAATAATCCCCCTAATAACAACGACATATTTCGCGCGACATATTAATAACAATAACAACAATAATACAAAACAATAATAATACTAATATCACAACATTATCACAACCATTAACTAATATTATCACGTTAATTAATATCATAACATTAACTAATATCACAACAATAAAATAATATTAACTAACATTAACATTAACTAATATCACAAAAATAACAAATATTCACTAATAATACTAATTACTCAAATTATCACCAAAATAATAATAATCACAATAAAACATATAAATATCATACAAAGATTACATTAATTAAAAAAAAAAAACGAAAATTGGACATCCGCCTAAAATTGTTGGATCCTCCATGGTGGATCCGCCTGAAATTTACAGATCCACCATGAAAGATCCGAAAATTCTAGGCGAATGTCTATATCCGCCTAGAACTTCCAGATCTTCCATGGTGGATCTGGAAATTTCAGGCGGATCCATCATGGAGGATCCAACAATTTTAGGCGAATGTCCAATTTTCAAAAAATAAAAAAAAAAAGTTCGACGACTTACATTTTCCTCCGACGATGCCTCCGGTGTACGATCGTTGTCGTTGTCCATCGTCCTAAACCCGTCGTTAAAACTTTATAAATTATTTAAAAAATTCGGGTTTTTGTTGGTGGGTCTCAGGAATTTTGGGACTCTGTAATTTTTTTAAGCAAGTGGTGAATGTAGGGTGTCGGGATTAATATTAAATTGCTCGGGAACCAAGTGTTGACCCTTATATAGCCCCACTAATGAAAAGGGCAAAATGGTCATTTCATTTCAAAATGGGAGCGACGCCTTGTAATTTGGGAGCGACGAATAGCAATTCACTAAAGTTACTTTAAAATGATCAAAAGTTATCCTGTAATGAATGAAAGTTTATCATTATATATAAGTTACCCAATTACCCTAATATAAATTAAAGTTATTTATGATTTATTGACAAAAGTTATCCAAAAAATTCTAAAAATTTACCCTAAATTCAATACTCCGTAACAGTTACCTCGATGTATAGTAATATTATCATACATCGAACGTGCAGAAAGGTTTTTGTTCAAATAAATCTCCACCTAAATTAACTTGAGTTCTCTCACTGAAAACAAATATACCATATGCACCGTAATAATACCAAATATTGTACTTCGTATACGATAAACACTCCCCTACATCAACTTAGGTAGGTGTTACCCCTAAAGGCACTTAATAATAACATCTAACCCTTAACTAAGCTAAGCTAGTCCAAACAATGTTGAAACTTGGTTTGTGGAACTAGCTTGGTGAACAAGTTAGCAGGACGATTATCAGCAATACCCACCTTTGCTCTGATGCTCGCCTTAATCCTTTTCTCATTTCATAGGAAAACATATCTCACATAAATGTAATTAGTCCTCCCATGATGAAATTAATTCTTGGTTAGACATAGTATATATTGTATGTTGGATTAAAGAGAGTAAAAACCATGCTTTTTGGTAGTTGATCAGTTTACTCCACAAGGAGGTTGTGGCCTACAACGTTTGTCCACAAGTGGGTTGTGGAGTAGACTTTTCATGTATACATACATTCATTTTTTGACATTCTTCCTTCATCTCTTGGATTCTCTTGTAATCCTCCATTAAATTGGATGTTTATTGTGATTTAATCACCTTTTGATGTTTAGATTCATTCTCTTGTTCATCATCTTTTATTATATATTTTCATGATTGAAAATTCAGAATACACAATCATCAAACACATTGAGCTAAACACAACTCTCTCTTTGGGCATAAGTTTACTAGTCTTCAACCTCCCACCCAAAAGTGCCTTTGTGTGAGAGTGGTGTGTGTAACCTTAGGGAACGTACCGACGAATACAATTGTACATTCCGGTTGCGTCGAATTTCGTTTTCAAGTCAGTGATTATTATTACACCACACCGAAATTTCTTTGAGTTTTATTTTATCTTCCCTTGTTCATTTTGTTATCTATTTGTTCTAGACCCTCTTTATATTACAACAATTTGAAAACGAAATAATGTCTATTGCAACTAGTGTTAGGAACAAGACATTTCCCGACCTCTCTAAGTTGGAGCCTCTTGATGGTAACAACTGTATGAGATGGTCTCAAAAGTTACTAATATTCTTTGAAAAAATTGAAATAGATTATGTGCTATATGAAGACATCATTGAGGTGCTTAAAGGGCAGAAGAACAAGCCGCTACCGCTACGACCGCCGTTACAACAACCATCACGGAAGCTAAGAAGAAGAAGGAAAAGGACAACAAGCTAGTTCGTGGTCATCTTCTCAATCATATGAACAACACCTTGTTTGCTTGTTTGTCAATTTCAAGTCAAGTAAGGTCATTTGGGATTCCTTGGAGAAGAAATATGGTTTGGATGATACGGTAAAGAAAAAGTACGTTGTGGGCACATGGATCAATTTCAAGATGGATGATGAGAAGCCAATCATGGGTCAAGTCCATGACTATGAAAACTTAGTGATCGAAATTCTTGGTGAACGCATGAAGACGTGTGAGACTATTCAAGCCAATGTTCTCTTGGAGAAATTTCCTCCATCTTGGAATGACTACCGCAATTCCTTGAAGCACAAGAAAAAGGACATGACACTTCAAGATCTCATTAGCCACATGAGGACCAAAGAGGCTAATCTCCTTAAGTATAAGTTTGAAAATTTGTCTCTTAATTCTTCTAAATCTAATCTTGTTGAATCTTCTTTGAACGTGTCTAAAAACTGGAAAAATTATATGAAGAAGGGAAACAACAAGTCCAAAGGAAATTTCACTCATAACAACAAAATTCAAAAGCCTAAGGGAGCATGCTATGTGTGTGAAATCATAGTACACAAGGCATACCAATGCAACCAAAGGCATGGAGCCAAGAAGGATGGCAATACCTCCCAAGCCAACATTGTTGAAAAGGAAGATATCATTGCGATGGTGGTGGTTGAAGCCAACTTGGTGGAGAATAAAATTGAGTGGATTTTGGGCACCGGAGCATCAAGGAATTTTTGTGCTAACAAGGCTTTGATGACTGAGTTTGAAGATGGAACCGACGACGATCATGTTTACATGGGAAATAGAAGCACGGTTGGAGTCCTTGGCAAAGGAAAGGTCCATCTTCAACTCACCTTCGGAAAAACTTTGTTTTTAAACAATGCGTATGTACCTTATTTTAGGAGAAATCTTATTTCGGGAGCCCTTCTCAACAAAGACGGCCTAAAACTTGTCTTTGAGGCTGAAAAGATTGTAATGTCTAAGAATGGTGACTTTGTTGGGAAAGGTTACCTCAATAATGGTTTGTTTGTGTTGAATGTTATGAATGAGAACAATAGTACTTCTTTTGCTTATATTGTTGAGTCTTTGGATGTTTGGCACAATCGTTTAGGCCACCTTAAGTCTTCTTACTTGAAAAATTGAAGGACATGTATTTGATTAATTTTTCAATGGATGATAAATTTGATAAATGCCAAATTTGTGTTGAGGCCAAACATACTAAGAAACCGTTTAAGCAAGTGGTCTCAAGAAGTACTAAACTATTAGAATTGATTCATTCGGATTCAGCGAACTTTAAAAAATGCACTAGTAGGGGTGGAAAAAATTATTACATTACTTTCGTTGATGAATTTTCTCGATTTACTAAAGTGTATTTGCTTAAAACAAAAGATGAAGCCGAAAGTGCATTTTTTAGAAGATTTTGTGAGGCCAATGGTATCATACATGAAACAAGTGCACCTTACACACCCTAATCAAATGGTGTTGCCGAAAGGAAAAATAAATCTTTGAAAGAGACTATGAATGCTATGCTTCTTAGTTCCGGTTTGCCCGATAACTTGTGGGGAGAAGCGGTTCTTTCCGCTTGTTATGTACTTAATAGAGTGCCCCATAAGAAGTTGGACAAAACCCCTATGAACTTTGGAAATGCTATAGTCCAAATTTAAAATTTTGAAAGTGTGGGGGTGTTTGGCTAAGGTTGCCTTTCTGGATTTTATGAAAACCACTATCGGGTCTAAAACTTTTGATTGTGTGTTCATTGGATATGCTCATAATAGTGCAGCCTATATATTCATGTTATTAAGTGATAAATCAATTTGTGAAGCTAGAGATGCGGTATTTTTTTAGCATAGTTTTCCTATGAACAAGTCTTTGTCTTCTAATGTTGATGTGCATGCTAGCGAGTCAAGTATGAATGTGCCTCTTGTTGATTCTATCCCTAGTTCTTGTCTCCCCTCTTCCTCTACCAAAGTGGTAGAAGTTGAACCTAGGAGAAGTAAGAGGCCTAGAGTAGAGTCTTCCTTTGGACCGGATTTATTGACTTCTTTTGTGGTAGAAGACTTTGATGTGAAT